AATATAAAAAAAAGTTAGAAAGATTCGGTTCATCGGTTCTTGGTCTAGAACTGAGAACCGAATCATACCAGTCGGTTCTCAATTTAGATACTCGTTCGGGTATTTAATTTGACAAGAACCGTCGAGTTCGGTTCGGTTCGGTTCGGTTCGTGAGATTTGCCCAGCCCTAGCGGCAGGTGAGGAATGATGAATACACGATATTGTATAACATTAATAACTGTAGCTCTATAAATATTCAGCTAGGTAGACCAAAATAAAAACAGTACATGATATTTTATAGCATTAGTAGCTGTAGCTGTATAAATAGTCAGCCTAGTCTGGTGAGTGACCAAAATAAAATTTTTGCAATGATGTGTGAAGACATATGGGCCAAAGGCAAAAAGTGCAGAAGAGGGCATATGACGAATGGTGGATACATAATAATTGCCTAATAATGAATTAAGCAATGAAAGGGTAAGAGAAATTGGTTAGGTGATTGGAATCAACGTGAAATTCTATATACAACTAAATTTTTTTGGTTATTGATCTATAATAAGCTGCCAGTTGCCATTTAACCTTAAGTTTTGTCAGCTTGATAGATACTTCTTTGATTATCATTTTCTACACATTTTATATATACTTCAAATATCAATCAAGGTTGAAATAGATCTATGCATACGTGGTCATCTTTTGGTCATTAATTTTCTTTTCTGATGCTCAATAGGTCCCAGGACTTTAGTGCTGCGAACTTTGATGACCGAACCGTGATACTCTGTGATCAGGTATGGACTTATGTATCTTTTTGGGCTTCATCTTTTTCTCCATCATCACTAAGTTATCCTCGTTCAGGTGTTTTAATATAATATATTTTATCTTGTGTAGTGTGAGAAGGAATACCATGTTGGTTGTTTGCGGGAATCTGGGCTGTGTGATCTGAAAGTAAGTTTGAGATGTTTATTTCAACAGAGTATAGATCATTGGCCCTTTGGGATTAATTGATGTTTTACAAATTGGTACAGGAACTGCCCAAGGATAAATGGTTTTGTTGTAATGAGTGCCATAAGATTTATGTGGCACTTCAGAATTTTGCTTCCAGTGGACCTGAGGCGATTCCAGCTTCTGTGTTGGCTGCACTAGCTACGAAGCACGCGGAGAGAGGTCTAAGTGATAGTTATAGAAATGATATTCGCTGGCGAATTTTAAATGGAAAGAGTCGCTATCCAGAGCATTTATTGCTGCTTTCCCGTGCTGCAGCAATCTTTCGTGTAAGTTTTTCTCTTTTCCTTTTGCATCTCTTTACCTTTTGCTGAATATCTTCTACATTTGCTAACTTTTGCTTGAAAGGGTAGAATTTGGATTATAAGCTTGTTGGGAAGTATTTATAAATAGTTCAAATAGATGAAATTAGTCGTGCATAAGTGAGCCGTACTTGTGGATCTCATTAAATGTGTGGGTAAAAAGTGGTTTGCCTGTTTTGAAACATTAATCAAACATAGGCTATGATTGTAGAATTGATACACCGATGCAAGTATTTATAATACCTGCATTTATAATAGCCGAGTATAAAGTAGCTTTTCAATATTTAGTATTCTCGAGTACGGAGCGTTCTATTAGCTGGCCTTTTGTTTAAGCAATAAAAATTGAAGGCAGTCGACAATTTATGATTCTGTTTATTGAATTCTTAATTTTTTATTCACGTTATAGTTTGGTATTGATGTTCCTTCAAACCATAGCTGAAGACTGAATGGCAGGAATATTTGGCAGATTGAGAATCTTGTCCCACCATACTAACTAAAGTTAGGGATCTTGTTCTGTCATGAGTGTTAACTAAACGATGTAAAATTTTATGGGAAACTGCTAAATAAAACTCATGATTGATGCGCCACATAATTGAGATGGAAGAGAACATAGGGATGTTACTTCACGTTCATTAAATAATTTTTTTCATTTTGTTTACTTCTGCAACTACAAGAGCCAACTAGTATGTGTCTATGTTGTGAACTTGAACCGGCGGTTTGCTTCTTGGTGGGAAAAATTCTGCTTTGTTGTTGCTCATTTGTCAGAAACTACTGTTACCCTTCCTAGAAATTCTCTGTGCGCACATGCGCGCGGGCACGCAGTGGATACATATGAATGAGTGGGTAGGGAGGGAGGGAAGTGGGGAGACATATTGCAAAAATTTTTAGAATTTGAAAATAATATATACGTGCTTGGCAGAACAAGCTTATTGATTTCTGGATTTCAGAAGCCTATTTTGAGAAGTTAAAGATGTTCCATAAGTTACCATGGACTTGCACCAGAAGTCCAATTGTTACTAGTTTATTGCAATATGATGGCTTCTGGAATTACTTTTTGCAAAAATGAGATTTGAGGATCAGAGTCTAAGCTCTTGTAGATATATAGACTAGATTTCTGCAAAATTGAGATTGAGAGCCAAATTCATCTCCATGCTCTACCATCAATTTGTATAAAAAAATTTGCTGATTGAAGCGGCAATGTAGTCCCATTGGTTGAGATAGATTTCGGATTCTGATCAATTCAGAATTTAAGAAGTCATATAACATATTGCAGGTTTTAAGAAAGTGGTGTTGCTTGAAAAAGGAATTTTGTCATTTCCAACTGCTAATGTGTTCCTTGGATATCCCCACATTGAGCCAGAGTAGAGCAGTGCTTAGTCATTAGGTTAGCCAAAATATGACTTGGGAATGAATGCTGCACATTTCAATTGTCAAGGGAGAGAAGGTGTGTGGGGTTAGTGGGAGTCATTGATTACATCAGTTGTTTCTTTGGTTTGAATTAGAGCAATGCTTGACAACTTGAAGTAGAGTATTCAGTTACAAGGACCTTCTGAATTAATATATAACCTACTATATAACCGAAATGTTTAAATAGGATTTTGCATTTGGAAAAATCAGGAGAGGAGTTCTCATAAGTGCACTTATCAAATGTCTATGGGATAGTGTTATACTTCCTCTATCACAACCAAGTGCGCATGTTCCAATGGAATATTGTTTGGTTGCATATTCTTCGATATAGGAATATTTGCTATTCAATTTGCAAAATATCAGTAAGTTCCTCTAATTGATTGCATTTTTACAAATTGTGCGAGCAGAAAGCCAATATATTAGGTGGGTTCCACTCCTTGCATCTTCCACATATTTGGGCCTTACATTTGTTGTGAATTACTGGCACTCTGTTGACCTGGATAGTGTTCTTGGCATAGATATTCTTATGTACTTCCAAAGGAAGTCTTCTAATTTATTTTCATGTCCAATCCCTTCTGCAGGAGCGCTTTGATCCTATTGTTGCCAAAACTGGTCGGGATCTCATACCTGTTATGGTGTATGGGTAAGTTGCCACACTTTCATCCTCTGGTGTTTAGCTCATTATCTTTATGTTGATTAGAAACACGGTGATTGCTTAAAAGAACTTAGATTGGAGATTTTTTTGAACTTTGAAATTGTTAAACGGACAGGATCAATTTCAAAGCGTGAAGATCTTTTCTAGATTCTTTTTCTCCAACAGTAGAAAGATAGTTAAATGATTGCTTTCCCGATTTAAGAAATTTGTTCTCTAAGGCCTTTTTAGGTTTGAAATTTGTGTTTCACTAGGGTTTTTTAATAGAGGTTCGTGTTAAAAAAAAAAAAAAAAAAAAAAAAAAAAAAAAAAAAAAAACA